TGCTTATTTCATTTGAGGAATAATTTGTTAAACAGCTACCAAGTGATTGAAGCATCGGGAAAGGCGTGGGGTGATAAAATATGACCCAGTGTTTCACTGTACCAGGATCCCCGTGATCAGCTAAAACAAGACATTTAACTCGATCCGAGAAAACACCAGCCCTCGGGAGCAGGCAGGGTGACCAACACAGCGGTCGCTTGGGCCGCCTCCCTGCCCAGGCTCAAACGCTCCCCGGCCGGCGCTGCTCCTATTTTTAAATCTCTGTGCTATGAAAAGCCCCATTTCACAGCACCTGAATTGGTGCCTCACAGGCAGGGACTCGGGAGCACGTTTATCACGCAGCTGTCATCGCTTTTGAGGAAACAGGCCCAGGGCACTTCGGATGTTGTCCTAAAGCCACCCGAGGAGACAGGCGCAGCGCGGCCTTTTGCACCAGGGCAGCTTCTGCTGTGTGGCACAGGCGATGCTGCACGGAGCAAGCTGACCCGCCAGAGCTGGACCCAGGGCCACTTTTGCCCGGGGAGGAATGATACACTGAATTTTCAGTTACTGAATTTCAGACCGTCTTGCTTACATTGTTTCACAGGGAGGTGTTTACCCTCTTGAAAAGGTAAAATGTTCCCTTTACTTGCAACAGGAAAGCCCAGGAGTGAGTATTGTCGCGGGAGATAATGTTACAGCCCTAGCAACGTGACACTTTAAAACTTCATCAGCCTCCAAGAATTTCAGAAATAGCGATGAATGAAGGTAGCAAGTGTTAAGAGCAGGCAGTGCTTGCAAGAAGTGCCCTTACCAGCAGCGTTTTCAAGAGCTGTTTTCTGTTTCCAGTTATCACTAGAGCAGCACAGCTCAGACCGCTTTTAAATAATTATACTCAACAGTTAAAAAACCCTCCTGTGCTAAAATAAATTTTAGCTAAGGTGGTTTTATGCTTTGCAGCCTCATATGACACTCCATCTTTCTCGTGTGACTGTTGTAACAAGTCAAATTCATGTATTTTGATACCGTGCACGTGATAAAGACACTTGGATCACTTAAGGCTGTACAAAACTGCAGTGCTCGCATGTCATTTATCTTAAAATCCCATTGTAGCGCTCGTGAAACGTAATTTCTTCATTGAATGGGAATTTATACTGACAGAGGTGTTATAAAACATGGAAAATACTGCAGGGAGGGGGCCCAACATTTTCTTTATCTCCTCGAGTGTTCACTAACGGGGATTTATTTTTCAGCTTGGCGTTGGTTCATTGCAGGTTTCAGACCCCTGGTGCAATTACAGGGACCTGTTTCCAGCCTTCTTTAGCAAAATTCACATTACTTGCAACAGGTGGGAAATGTGTGCTGCGGCCTCGAGGCAGCAAACTGGTTCACAGGCTGCAGTCTTCCATATTGGTTCCTAAAGCTGCTTGTAGGAATTCGCCCAGCCTAAAGGAACTCCTGGGATCCCAGCCTCTGCCTTCCAGTTTCAAAATGCATGGGTAAGAAAAACCAATTTATATTCATAACCTTGAGTAAATAAAGTGTCACTTTAACTACACATTTTATTGTAATTAAGTGCTTCCCAGTAATAACCAACCCACACTATGGAGCTGTTTCTTAATATAACGGTTTAGGCAAGTTCTAGGCTGCGAGCAGAATTAGGAAGAATTTAAAAGCCCAGACCAGCTGATTAGCAGGGCGATGTCGCTCAGTTCTCAGCACGCACAGAAAAGGTGGTTTTGCTGAGGAGCTTTATTCCTTATTTTCAGGAAATGCCATTGCTGTGTGGTCAGCATAATCAAATCTCACCTGTGGAATTTCCCAGTAAGTTTTATACCCAGTATTAGCTTGACTCTGCTCCCACTGGCTTTTCCTAACTCTAAAGGGAAGAGACCTGAGGCAGATTTAGGCCTTCCCCAGCTTTCTAATGAGCTGCTGCTGTCACCTCTCCATAATGCAGCTACTATTAACTTTGCTGGAATTTCTATATTTGAAGCAGCTCTAAATTAGAGCCTGGACTTCCAGACATGGATGCAGATAGTCTCTGCTGCTGTCTGTATGAGCCCTTGGGTTTCATGCTAAAAAAGCCCACCCATGTTGACAAATTTGCCCTTTACAGTCTGGCTTCAGCGCGGCCGGTAAAAATAGCGAGTGATGCAGCAGACAGAATGGGCCCTAAACTATATTTTTTGATAGCTTTTCTTAGCTCCAGACTAAAGAGCAAGGCATCAGATGTTGACAGATTAGCGGGGAATACACCGAGCAAAGGGATCTGCTACTGAAATGCCCACAGTCCAGCGGTTTTGCTGTCCTCCAGAATTTGAACTTCTCCCTTGGTTTGCAGTTGTATTTTGATTAAAGCATAAATACCAGCAACTGGCACATGTTGGCTGACATCAGGGCTACGTGCCAAAGCTTTCTTCAGGTTGGAGCTTTAGTGACACTTTACTCATCCATGGATTTTGTGAGGACTTCTGGGGCATAGCTTATTATTTTTACTGCTGTAACCAGCAGTCATTCTATAATTATTTCCCTTTAAATCCAGGAGAACTCGTCTGGCCTTTTGTGGGGGGGAACTTAACTGCAAGAAGTCTCTGGAGGACGGTTGATGCTGGGTGGTGGTTGTACCATGGGCATGTTACCCGCTCCTAAAAAGGAGAATCCAGGCTCTAATCCATACCCCCAAGTCATGCCAGCTTGCTGGGTACCAAAGCACACCCACACTTCAGTTGGAGACTCCCGTGTTCAGACGAGGAGGATTAGGGACATCATATGACTAATTCTGCAATGACGGTATATGCTTAATTGGTAAAGGACTGTGTTTTCTGTCCTTTTTAAACCCAGGTCATAATGTCAAAAGTCTGGCTGACGTTTGAGTCTCCTTTCAGGTATTTTCTTCATTGAGATTCACTGTACTTAAAGTTGCTGTAGTTGCCAGCTTTGTCTTATGCCCTGGAGCGCTACTATATGCCTTTTAGTCATGAGAAACCAGCATTCAAATTCCCCTGAAACACCAGGCTGTGCTGCTTTTGCGGCATGCAGAGGGCCTTCCCTCAACCACAGGTACAAAAGCTCTGATTGTTGCAAAAGCCAGTGACCAGGAGTCAGGGAAAGCACAGAATATATACATATATACATATATATATGTAAAAGCAGACTACGGTCCCAAACTTTGGAAGTGTCCTGCTTTTATGCTCTTTACCTCAGATTCCCTGTAAAATATAAATACAGCATTGTTGATGCTTAGCTCATAAAAAAATAAATACTCTCTAACTTCCAGTTGAAGTCAATGCATCTTAAATTCAGTGGAAGGAAGATGTTCCTACCAGCTGATTGTACTTAACTATTCAAAGAGTTTACCAAGGGCCACGGCAGCAAAGATTGCCTGGTTGCCTGTCAGCAAAATGTGTTCCTGAATTGGTGTAGCAACAGTGGAATCGCTTCTTGGTGACAACTGTGGACTGACAGCCTCCAGTAATGGCAATCTATTTATCTCTTGCACTGTGCCCATAAAGCATTCTGTCCTCCTCCCATTAAAAGCTGAAGGTAAATAAATACAAGTCCCATCATGAGACCATTTTGCTTGCATTCAGGTTATCTACAAAGCCTCTGCCTGAGGTGGACAAGCAGAAGGGCAAAATAAAATCTTTCAGTCCTTGGCATGAGGCCAGCCAAGGTGTGACACTGTGAGCCTGGGGCTCAGGAGATGCAGAGCTGCCCTGGTCATTCTGCTTTGCTGTGCACAACAGCCAGTGCTGCTGACACTGTCTGGGGGAAGGGCAAGGTGTTAAACTTGCTCTGAGCTTGGAGTGTTTTTGGACCAGGTCAGGCCAGCCTTAAGTGCTGCACACCTTTGGGTGGCTGCCAGCAGATCCTGTGGGGTTTTGTAACACCTGAAAAAGAGCCTGGGAATACAACAGCTCTTGAGTTTGCAGAGTGAGAAGAGCCCTTAGACGGTTTCCCAACCTTGTCTACTTAAGTTACCATCCCGTGTAAAAGAAGATAGTAATTATTTACTCACATTGTCTTCAGCTGTTGATGTTTTACCTGGAAATGCAATGCAGGTCTTTTAAAGCACATATGGTGGCTACAGCAGCCTAGAGCCAAAGCCTGTCATCTCTCCAGCTCCCTCGCCTTCCTCTCTCCCCAGGTGTTTAGTTGGCAGAAGGACATCTTTCAAATTCCAGTATTTTATTAAAAAAAAATAGACTCAGAGGTTTTAAACTGGTTGCAATTAAGCTTTAACAACAGGAAGGTTCTTAGGGAGGTGCTGTGTGCCTTTGAAATGGCTTTTTGGAAAAAAAGCATCTGTATCCCTCCTGCAGCCAGCTGGACTGCACTGCAGGGTTAACTTTCACTGTTACCTGTGGCCTTGTGCCTCCTGACACACTCAAGGCACGTATGGACGGACCAATAAAATATGTCCTGGAGTGTTTGGTGTATTTTTAGAGTTTGTCCCAGATTATTGGCCTTTGTCCCAGATTTCAGTGGTTAGGGTATAAGAATGCCCGGTGGGGCCGAGTGCTTCCTTCATTGCTCTCAGGAAGGCTTTAATCAGGAAAAATACCCTCTCAGAGAAGGCAAATAATTAAGTTTTTGTGGCAAATACTCTACTGCCATTAGCAGGAGATGATAAACACTCAAGACCACAGTTTAAATAGAGCAAGGCAGATGCACTAAGCTTTAAAGTGAAACATTATTGTGTTACGTGGTATTGAGTAATGAATTGGACATTGCTAACAAGGTAGTTTTCCTTTTGTCTTATTGGGACCAGAGTTTGTTTTTACACCATAAAGTGTCTGCCTTTGCTGCTCATCATGGGGAAAAGATGATGTAAACCAACTGGAGGAGGCTCATCCCACATGCTGGCAGCTGGCAGTGTGCAAGTGGGGAGCTAATGTTGGAAGGCATCTTCAGGTGTCATCCCATCCATTCTCCTCCCTTTGGCAGTGTTTAATTGACCTATGGCATTCCTGATAAATGCTCATCCTACCTCTTCCTGCAGGGCTCCGGAGTTTTATTTTCTTCCATCTTGGTCTTGCCTCCTTACCTTCCTACCAACTGCTTCTTGCCCATCTGCCCTAATGCACTTTCTCAGACTATTTCTTCAGCCTCATGGCATAGGACATAGCACATGCCATAACAAATACTAAGTATAAAAACTATTCTGTTAAGAATTCAGTCACTGGCCCATCAGTTTTGTAGGGAGATGGGAGTGACACAGCACCAGTACAGATGCAGATAAAGTTCTGCTGCACTCAGTCGTATCTGTGAGAACCTGCTTTCCTTCCCAGAGCTCCCCAGTATTCAACCCTTGGACATTTTGGCATATTAGCAGTGATAAATGTATTCACAAGTGAGAGCAGACAGCCCTGCGGGTTGTGATGCCAGGGTATTGTGGGTTCTTGGCATCAGCAGTGCCTGTCTGTGGATTTCAGGCGAATGAAACAGAAATATTTTTATAGTCAGCCTCAACTTTTTATATATTTGTAGGTGTCTTGGTGTCCCCTAAATAGGGATTAGATCCTTTGGCAGGAAGACTGCACTTTATGTCTTGACTTTCCTGTTTCCATATCCACCCAACCCTCTCTTGCTCCTGAAGGCCACTGATCTTGTCCTTTATTTTTGCCAGGAAATGCCACTCGTTTATGTTGAGAAGCAGGTTCTATCAGCAGGGAAATTATCAATAATCCAGCAAGCAACCAATCTGTTTCTGATTTCATGTGACCTATCCCTGCTGTGGGATGATGCACCCACAATAATTATTATTGTTAATTATTCACCTGCAATAGTTTAAATGCTTGCAAGTGACCATCAGATGTGAAAAGAATTCAATACTAATGGAGGGAGAAGAAAGATTTTTAAAAAATGAGGGTGGCATGAGACAAGGATGAGAAGGGTGAAGGATATATGGCAGAGGTACTGGTTGGGGGTATTCTGGTGGCCTGGGTTCCAGCTCAAGCTTTTGCAGGATCTCTGATAGGCTTTGCTTTACTTATCTCTTAAGTCCAGATCAGAATAGGAACAACGGACTTTATCCACAGAAGTAATTAAAATGTTGCACTCCCTGGCAGCAGAGTTAAAATCAATTTCCCTAATACAAGATGAAGAGCAATTGGCCAGGCTGCTGCCATGTGGAAAAAGATCTGGGACTGCAGTGCTTGGGAATACAGCAGAAAACCAGTGCTGCAAAAATCCAGCAGTTCTCCTGGGATGTCTGTTCCAAGGGGCACACTGGCATGGGTCAGTCTTTCCATTCAACTTGGCAATGGCAGGGTCTTGGCTCAAGAACAATTTACACACCTCAGGAAACATATGGCCCAGCTGGGGAAAGCCCAAAGAGGTGCAAAAAAAGTGACTGGAAGTGTAGGAAACCTGCCTTTGAGGTAGAGCTGAGAGAGGGAAGTGTGTGGTCTGAACAGGGGACTGAACTGAGACAAAACAAGTGGTCAAATACATGCAAGACTGATGCAAAGAGTGAGACAACGTGTCCTTTTATCTTCTGCAGGTAGGGTGAGTAATGGGCTTTAGCTCCAGCAGGAACAATACAGGTAAAAGATCAGGAAAAATTTGCCGGTGCTATGGCTGTTGTGGAATTGGCCCAGCAGGAAATTGTTTAGCCAAAGCTCTTGCAGGAGTGGTTGAGGTATTGTTGATTGTACTGAGAGCCTCTTAGAGGGATTTATCCAACTATTTTTTTTTTCTTATTTTCTCCACTTGCCACTGAATCACTGGAATTCAGCACTTCAGCATTTGGGGAGACCTGCCACAATAGCAGTCCCCTGTTTGTAATCAAGAGGATTGCAAAGCAATCACATGCATGTTTAGCTGATGTGCGGCTCCCAGGATGGATGGTGCACAGAAACAAGCTAGGAAATACGTGTGCCATTACTGTGGAGGCTGGTTATTCCAGAGCATTGAAAATCCAGCTTTTCTTTGACAAGGAGATGCTGCACGTGAGAAATACCGCAGGTTATATTTAGTGTTACAGAGGCATGAAGGAAATCTCATTAGAACCCACTGACAATGATCTGTTAAAAAGGGAACAGGGGCAATTTGTGAGCGCTCGGAAAAACAGTGCATCTCTGTTCTGCCCTGTCCTCGCTGTCTGCTGCTACTCTAGGACACAGATTTCTTGAGAGAAGGATCTGTGCCTGCTTGCTCAGTTAGCTCTGATACATCATATTTTATTTGCTGGGAGACTTGAACAGTGAGCAGCAAACGCTCCCGGTCCTATTTTAAACACATGGAAACTGCAGTACAGAGAAATAAAATCACTTACTCAGAGCCACAGAGCAATTTTGTGGCAGGGCTTGGATCAAGATCCAGCTCCCCTGCTTCCAAACCCGTGTGCCATCCTTTCTCTTCATTGACCCTTAATTTTAATCACCTACCAAGAAATTCTGTTGGCCTCTTCCAGGTGACTTCCATGGGAGTAATGCCAGGTATCAAATGAAGTCACTGGGAATATCGATGCAGAAGAAGCCAATATTAGATGCAAAGAAAGAATTGATGGAAGGGAAAAAATAGATTTTACCAAAAAAAAAAAAAAAAAAAAGAAAAAAAGAAAAGAAAAGGAATAAGTTCTAGTGCCGTTTCCATAATATCATTCCCCCCTTTAATTTGTGCCTGGTCAAAATTAAAAAAAAAATAGATTGCTAATATTAATAGATGAAATGAATCTTGAATTTTATAATAGTGGAGGAAATGAAAGGAACAAAGTAATATTGTGTTGTTAACTGAGATTTTAATAATGATTCTGTCCTCAGTTGGTGCATTTATTCCACAGAAAGTAAATCATTAATGAAGAGGAGGGGAAAACAGTTTTGTGATGATGGATTTTTGAAAGAAAAGTTTAATTTTGGTTAACTTCCAGAAACTCTGAAATGTGGCTGGAGCTCTAAAACTGAAACACCAACACCTCAAAAACAGCTCGTAAAGGTGAGATTTATCCAAGTGGTTAACATTACCTGGGGAGTGATGAAGGATGTCCATGGCTGCTCTCCAAGAGAGCTGAGGTGAGTGGATGAGGTGGGTTAGAGATGCTGGTTTGATGGAGGAAGGAAGGTTTGGAGGTTTGCTGTTGGTTGGTTGCATTCTCGTAGCTATTTCTGAATGACACCCGGAGAGCAGTAGGACTTCATCCTCAGCCAGAACCAGGGGAATCCCACTGGGCTCATCCTACCTGTTCTGTGGACTTTTGCAAGACCTGCCTCCACCATGTCCTCTGCAGGGGCGTGGGTGGACTCAAACCCCTCTCAGGGCTGTAAGGATGTTTGATTTCCCAGGTGAATTAAAAACCCACCATGGCTAGTGTGTCCACCTGCCCAATACTGTCTTCAACCACCTCCAAGGAGTCCCCAAAAAAAAACAGGCTCCCTGGAGCCCATTTCACACCAACTCCCCTGGTACAAAATGTCCAGCGCAGGGAGAGTCACGGTCTCACAATGGTGGAGGAGAAAAGCATCTCTGTAGCTGAGATTTGCTGCCCAAGAAAAAGCAAATATGGAACATACATGGCTGTTTCTGCCTGCAGGAGATAGGGGAAAACACAGAATTCCCCTGATTCCTTAATGAGCACAGCACCCCAACAATGAATGTAGAAATTTGCAAATTAAACCTCATTTCTGTATTTAAATTATCGAATCAATAAAGAGATGTAAACATTAAGCAACATTATATGAGAGCCTGGAGTGTCGCCACAAAAAATTAAGACTATGTAATTAAAAGTACAATGCAATTTATTTTTATATTGTTCTTCATTCAAATCAACAAATCTTATTACTTACCCAAAAATGTAAAGCAGACTGCAAACTAATTCAAAAGATGAAGACAAAGTGGCTATTGAAAAACCTATGTTTCTTGTTCCCTTAGATCTGGCAGCAGTCATGATTTAATATTTTAACCACTGTAATAGGTTATACTGCTGAAGAAAAGTGCATTAATTACTATGGGAAACCTAAAAAAAAATCTAATTAAGAAGAATAAAATCATTCTTATTGACTGGGAAAAATAAAACTATGTAAAGGGAAATGAGGGATGAAAAAACTGACAACACACAAATACTAATAAATGTTGTCTGCTCAGGATAGGAAAAGCAATTCTGCTGTTTACTGGGGGTTTGGATTTGAAACTGGCTGGAAGTCACAGTTTGCCATGGCTAAAGCTCTTTCTCACACACTGGAAGCACCTTCTAATTAGCTGCAGCTCGGGGAGTTGAGTTTGCTTCAAATTCAGCCCAACATGTCCGTGCAGAGCCAGCCCCACTGGCTGTGTCTGCAACAGCAGACTAGAGCATGAGGCTGAACTGTGTTTCAGGGTGTAGGATGGGGTAAGGAAATGGTTATCGTGACAGTTGCTGTCCTTCCTATGAAGTCAGAGAGGACACGTGTGAGAAAGCAGCCCTGTGTCCCAAACCATGCCTGGGGACAACACAGGAAAGAATCACCACGGGCAGACACCAATCTGTCTTTCAACCAGCCACAGCCCTTTAAAGTAATGTAAAAGGAACCTTTCTGTGTGAAATAGCCACCACCTCGTTTGCTCAGCCCCAAGGAAAGCCATTTTTTGACTTTACCCCCAAGTAGCCACTGCAAGGGAGCACCTGCCCCCCCTTTATGTGCCTTTACAGGGTCCCCAGGGATGCAGGGCTGCTTTGGGAACAGGTGCATCTTGTGTCGGCCAGAAACAGCAGCCAAAAGTGTTAGGAGGTGTTTGACTGTATTTTCCAGATGTGAAAGTAGACGGGACCGTGTGGTTTTGTCATTGCCGAGATTGGACTCTGAGGCTGTGAGTTTGATCTTCCATCCCAATTTGGAATAGGAGTGTTTATTTCATGACTTTGAGCATTCTCGTTATGGCAAAAGTAGTTTTCTGCCCAAATTTATTGCCCTCGTTACTAAAGATCCCAACAATGTCATGGATGTTAAAAAGAGGGGAGAGGATTCCACAGGGTCAACATCTACAATAAGTGTTTAAACAAATACATGTGGTTTAACTACTTCAGCTGATATTAGTAGTATTAATGCCTTTTCAAGCCAGAAGTAATCCTTTGATCATTTATATTTACTTCACATATGAAATAGACTGCAGCAGTTTGGCTGGTTCTCTTGTACTGAATCCAGTAGCTTGTACATCATTAATATCTCCAAATATGAAGAATTAGTAGTATAAATTTTGCACAGCCCTTCTGGGATTACAAATCTTCCTCAAAGGCAAGAGGAATTGTCTGAGGAATGAGGACTTCTAGATCCAATGAGTGCACGCTGTGCCAGAGAGGAAGAAACTGAGTGAAATCTTTGCAACAAATGATGCTATTATGGATGTGTACTTGCACAGAAAGCCAGCGAAAGGGCACTGCAGCACCTCAGCTGTGTTTTGGTGGTATCACTGACACCGAGAGTCACACAGCTTTGTGCTCAAAGGTAAGCACTTTCTCCTTTCACACCTTCACCCACAGGAAGCAAGGTTCCAAAGCAGAAAGCATTGACAGGGGTTGTTTGAAGGAGTTTTGATTGACTGGGGGTTATTTCGCAGCACAGAAACATCCAAGCTGTAATGTCTTTTGATTAGCAAAGAATTTTTATGTTGAACCTTGCAAAACACACAAGGATTACTCAGGAAGAGTGTCACATAGACCATGTGTGATTATCTACACAAGGGTTGCAGAAACAGCCTTTAGTTATAAAACAGAAATAAGCAAAGCCTAAATTCACTCTTTGAGAGAAAGATAGAAGGGTTTTTGATGTGGTAGCATCTGAAGGCCATCGGATCAGGACTTGCCATACTGTACATGCTCTACTAATCCAGGATCCATAGGCATCAGAACTTTGTATAGTCTGGCCTGAGCTCTGCACTGCCAGACGCTCAGGGCTGATGCAATCCCAGGGCACAGTTCACACACTGCGGTGCCTCTGACTCATGTATGGGACTGGGGACTTGGGGCCCAGGGGCACACAGGGGCTCTGAGCTGTTGGTCAGGAGTGGGATGTTTTAGCTGCCTGAATTTGGGGCTGCCACTCTGCTATGGCATCCCCCAGCCCAGCTGTAACTCTGTGTGCACTGCAGGGCACGGAGCGAGTTGCACCACCAAGAGCCTGAGGTGCACAGAGAGTATCAGGGCAAGGGAAGGTCGTGGGGGTAGTGGTGGGATTAGACTCACCCCATTTCAGGTATTTACAGAGTAGAACTTCTAAATGCCAGCTGTCACACTGGGCTTTCCAGGGAGCAAGAAGAAATAAGTGGGTTCATTATTCAATTCATCTGCTCTGTTTTAACCATCTATTTTAGGAAGACGTGAATCACCGTGGGCTCTATTGACAGTATTGACTGGCTCTCCACTGACTGGTGAGGGAGCCACAGGTGACTCTCTCAAGTGTAGATTTCTGCTTTAGTTGGGTGAACCTACCGAGAGCTTCGTGCCCATACTGTAAGACTTGGATGCTCTGAGCAGCCCAGACTGTGGCATTCCAGTCAATAACTTCTATGGCAAGCACAGTATTTTTGGAGAAGCGACACCCATCAGGAGGAGTTTGCAATGTAAGTAGACAAAAGAAATAGCAGGTGGGAAACAGAGGTTCCCTGTGATCAGTAGGAAATAAAGTCTGCGCTTCCTGCTCCTGCACCACATGCCTCAAACCCTATGTCTCTTTTATAGCAGGTTTTCATGTCTTCACAGAGAGATTTGGTTCAGGTGTGAACACATCATATGGATGATTAGTTCATGATGATTGCTGTCATCTCCCTCCCTCCAAATTGAAGGGGTTCTGTTGAAGCCATATCTCACCCCCCGTGGCTATTGCTGTACCTTATCCTCAGAGCATCAGCCACTTCTGAGAAAGTCCTGGGTCACGAGGAAAGAAACTGTCTGGGTCAGCAAGAAAGCCCACGCTTGAAAGAGAGAAAAAACCCACCAGTCTGTAGGAGCGTATGCCATTAAAAAGCAGAAACCAGCCTACACATGTAAGAGTGGCAGCCTCTACAGTGTGGTGTACGTCCACACACTTGTTTCAGAAACCATCTCCCTTCGGCTGTGATCCCTCTCAACTGTTTGCAGTCTGTGTGCGGTGACGTGCATGGAATATTACTACGAAAATGTGCATTCTTGTTAATAGGTATAGTTTAGGATGATTGTTAGCAGAGCATAAGGCCTTATTGATTGAAAGTGGCATATGGCAAGGATGTATAATGATTCACTTTGGCTGCTAGTTTGAAATCCTATTCATGGGTGAAGAAAAAAAAAGAAAAACGCCACTCTCCTTTGCAGTCAGGCTTCATTCTTTCTGCAGCATGTTTTTCAAACTGGGCCATTTTACAAGTGATCCGTAGGAGAGATTTCCTGCTCTCCTGGGTGTGTGCTCAAAGCTCTTTTCAGTCTTGCAAGGGCAGGTCACAAGAACAAAAGCTGAAGTTATCATACTCCTCCCTTTGAGGGAAAGGTTGGTTATCTTGCAGTTCTCTCTCTAAAACTCTTTTTGTGGGCATTTAGTGTTTATGGAAGGTGGTGGACTTGAAAACACGATAGACAATAAATGCCAGGGAGAGGCACAACACCAGTTTCCAGCAGCATTTGTTGGTGCATGGTGGGAGAGGGTGTGAATCCCCACCTGCAGCAACAGGCTCATGGGACCGGTTTGACATTTTTACCAATTACATTTTTGAAAGACGAAGCTGCCAGTGCTCCAGCAAGCTGCACTAGAGGTGAACTCTTCTCTGGATCCAGCTTCTCTTCACCAGCAGGAAAAAAAAATTCATGTTCCTATGCGGCATTAGCAAACACGGAGTAATTAACCTGAGGTAAAATCCCAGTGAAGGCAATGCAGACAAAGTATTAATAAATGTGAACTGACAGAGATAAGCCCTGAGGACCTCACGTATCTTCCCCGTGTGTTAGCAGGTCCAAGTGAAGCTGAAGTTGTCTCACCTGGTTTGCCATGTGTAGACTGACAGGGTAAGCACAGACCTTGAGGTTGGGTAAAGGTGGCACCTGTGAGTCTTGAATGCCCCCAGCCCCCCCATCAGTGGTACTGCTGAGGGATGTGATGAACCCCAAGAGCATTGCCCAGAAGGACGACAGCTCAGAATGGCATTGTCACAGTGCTTGAGAGCAAAAATAGCTGCAGCTGATCCTAGTACTGACCCCAGCACCCACTCACCCACCATCACCACAAGGGCAGTGCAGGGAAGTCTTTTGCCAGTCTTTTTGGCTGAACTGTGGAGGAAAAGTTGATCCCAGAAACTTGGAGCTATCTCGCAACCTCCACTGAACAGGAAAAAGCTGCAGGGACTGATTCTAGCCCAAGTGGATCAGCTCATATAGGAAGATGACTGATGGAGGAAAAGACTATGATCTCTGCCCATTCCTACAGCCCTGAAAACCTCCCTGACCCTTATCTGGCTGATTTACAGTGTTTTCTGGACACTTTCCTTGGCAACAGCACCAAGAGCGATTCAAATGGCATTCACTTCACTCCTGGAGGCACAGCCCTTGTGTTTCCCCACCAGCACATAAAGAGCAGAACCTTCATATATGTCTGTTCTGGGAACCAATGCTTTCTAGGAATTGCTTACAAAGAATTAAGTAATCTATTTGATTGTCATCCAGAAGGCCTGGGCTTGCTACATGATCGTGCTCTATTCTTTTTTCCAGGGAGATGCTCCTTCAAGATGGTCTTGAGGATTTGCCTGTGGTAGGCAAAACAGGGCTCCCTTGAATAAAATAACTGAACAGGCAAATAAACGGAATGCCTTTCATTATACCTGTCACCAGTTTATTTACTCCATGGCCTCTTTCTGCCATAAAAGTCTGGAGTGATTTCTGCATAGTAAAACATCTGCACTCATTTTCAGAAAATAACAACAACTGCCAAATGTATGAACTCACTGTTTTCTCAGAATGCCTATTGTTCAGTGTCCGACCCTTATTGTTTCTCATCTCCTGTGAGTGGTTTACAATCAAATCCACTTTATTTACAGTGGAAAGCAAAATATGTCGGAGCAAGACAATTGACTATAAGTCTTCAGTCAATAACAGCTTGTTTTTGTGCATGCAGAAATGTAGACATTTCTCGCGCTCATTGAAATCGGTGGCAAAATTCCCATTCGGAGGTGTCTGTTCAGTCCTGTGCCAGATCCCGACTCCTGCTAAAAGTGTAAGCTGGTAAACCTTACTGTGCACATTCTGAACCTGGGTCCAGCATGCACAAACTATCTTTTCATGGGCTCCACAAGCCACCCTGCAGTGAGTGCTCGCAGTTAAGACCTTGCATCAAGACAATACTTCAGCATCGCTCAATTGGTTTGCTGATCAGGAGCCTTTGTAAGAGACTGAGCTGTTGACAGGTGAATCATCTATGTCCCACAGTGTTTCCGTCTTTACTCTTGGTTTCTGGCCAACATCAACTCCCACTGAAGGCCTTTCTTATATAGTTTTCCCCTGAATGCTTTCCATGGGGTCATCACATCTCAGAGATAAACACTGAAAACCTGAAGCATGCTATTAAGCTTCTTAAAACACTAGAAAGACAATCATTTTGACAGAATAGATGTTAATCACACTTATATAAAAGCTTTTCATCTTCAAAGCATTTAACCAACATTAATTACATGTAATTGGCTTTTCCGTGTCTGTCACGCAAAACACACCTTTCATGTCACTTGTTGTATCTTACCCAGGATTTCTGAGGGAAAGCTGTGCCTCTTCAGCGCAGCACAGCTTCCTGAAGCCACCTGAGGCCTCATCTTGCAAATCCCAAAGGGCAACATTTAAAAACAGCAGTTGCAGGGAACACCTCAGCTGAACTGAGAGATCTGTGAAAAAAATAATGCCATCCCACTTGGGTGCCTGCGAAGTTGTAAGTGTCTCCATTTCCCTGACAAAATCTTCTGAGGAGACTCTCTGAAGTTTTGCTGCCCCTCGTGCCTGGGGATGTCCCTGTCTTCACTAAGCCCATCCAGGTACCATACCCACAGCCTGGTGTCTGCCTGAAATGTCTGGGGTGCCCTAGCCAGAAGGCAAGGTGCTCTCTGGGCTCCAGCAGCACTGCATTTGACAGGCTACAGTGGAAAGAGAAAGGACCACATTTTCCATGGATACCTTGTCTTCAAGTACTTATTCAAGAAGTTGAGAACTTGGGTCCGTTCTTTCCTCTGACTGAGGAGGTCTGAAACCCCCATCTGGCACCACTCTGTCATGCTTTTCTTGCATCTTTTCATTTAAGCAACTGCTACATTTGGCCACAAACAACTTGAAAAAGTTAAGGTTTTCATTCCAATTTACAGCGTGTGTGAGACAAAAAAAAAAAAACTTTCTTGCCCAGCGAACTGTCAGGATTCAGCCAGGAAATACGAGTTCCATGTGTCCTTGGAAGAGCTGGCTAGTGTTCAGGTTCCCGAGAGCTCAGGGCTAAAAGAAAAGGATTTTGGAAGCATAAGTGACAAAAACATAAATTTCACCAAACAGGGTAAATGAAGAAAATGTCCAACAAAAGAAAAAACAAAATGTTTACAGGGACTAGATCACAGAGAATTTTTCCCAGAGATGAGCACTAGTTGGAGGATAAGGTTCTCAACAGATAAGAAACCAAACCCAAATACTATCTGGGATCAACAGCACCATCCAGGTCAGGACTATAGGACCTTTCCTATCAATCAGAGACAGGTGAAGGTCCTGATTATTTTCTTCCCTCTGTTTGACTGCCTTTCAGAAGACAATATTGAAGGTGATATTATGCTTGTTTTCATATTGAGTGTAGCACCATTTACAAGCTGATTATCTCTATCCCTGCTCATATATGTAGCTAATAGAGCTAAAAAATGTGCTGTTAGTTCAATGGCTCACAAAGGGATGAAAGCTCCACCTGGAATTCCTGCATTGTCTTTGAGTCAATAAAGGTGCTTTCTCAAAAGTGCAGGATTTTCCTAACCTTTATTCTTAGCCCTCAGCTTTCATTCTTAACGTAGATGGCTACAAAGGGCAGAGACTGAGTTACCCATTAAGCTATTTGGGTCTGGGATAAGAAGTTCCAAGTCTCTTGAACTGTCTTGCCTGTTGAAAGACACTCCATCCTTCATGAGCTTGCATCAGAGAGAGGGAGAGCTACGTTGTATTGCCAAGATGAGCAGAAAAACAGCCAAGCTCTGCAGAAGAGAATTTAGGGTGCCCTGGGACCTAACCCCAGATCATAGAGGGGCAGACTTTGACAAAAGCATTTAAGTGGCAGGTTCCAGTGCAAGCCATAATTGTGCTCATAAATCAACAAGATCCTGTAAAAATCCCACACAGTGTCACCTGCCCTCAGTAGCTGGAGTGGCTGTTTATTTTGCAGACATCTTCACTATTTCATTCTCAATATTGTAATTCAGTTAGTGGTCACACAGTTCTGTCAGACTACTCCCACCTTGGAAGTTAAGTAAATGGTTAAGTGTGTTACTGGTTCAGAATTAGAAGACTCTCCACCTTGCAGGATTGAGCCCTGTAATCTATTCACATTTCCTTTTCAACTTCTGCAAGTAACCCCAAACAGGCTGGGAACACTAAGTGCAAAGTTACAGGAGATGACTGTGGCAATTTCTGAATGACAAGAGCATTTAAAAGAAATGTCAAGAGTCTGTGGGCTGCA